CAGTTCGTGAGTTCGTGACTTGAATGTGCGTAAGTTAAGGTTGGTTATTGGACCAATACTTTGACTCCATTTATTTTGTTGTTGATGTCATGAATTCAACATATTATTTCTTAAAACAGATTGCAACTAGTCAAATATTATAAATGATTTTTAATAGTTCTTATTAATATATTTTTTTAATATATTCTTATGTATTTACATGTTTATATTGAATTATATTAAGTTTCTACGTCTAAATAAGAGTATATTGAAAACATTGACATAAGTAATGCTTAAATGGAATTTGGCGCAAAATTTGTTTAAAAATTGTACAAGGAAAATAAATTATCATCCAATAAAATAGAAATGAAGTTATCCAAAAGTTATCTCAAACAATAGGTTTAAAAAATGTCGAGATATATTTGAATGTAGATGGTTTTTTGGTGGAAGTTTTGGAAAACTTGAAAATGAAATCGATATTAAAGAAAATGTTAAGAATCATCGATTTAAAAATGTAATTTCACTTGCATGCAAGTCGACTGTTTATTTAATAGAACTTATTGGAATTTAAGGAAGTTAAGGAAAAATAATCATAATATTATTTTTCGTTTATAATATGTGTAAGTTATTTAAAGTTCATTCAAAAATAATTCTCTGAATAATTTTAAATAATTAATATAGTATTAAAAGTATAAAATCAAATATTTGTTCGAAGATAATTATTATTTCTGATCTTAATAAAGAAAACAGGTTTCATTTCGTTCCGTTCGGGGGTGTAACATTAATTAAATATTGGACGAAATGACGGGTCGAGCAAGGGGTAAAGTATTATTGACTTCGTTCGGCCGGACGAGTGATAATAATGTGTGCGCTGTTTTGACAGGGTAATGAGTAATTGTGCATTTAAGACCCGAGCACTAATCTCCTATTATTTGGTATTGGGGTTGTTTTTGCTGTAACCAAGGGAGAGGATGTGCAGGTACACAGCATCCGTCGGAGCAATTTTATATTGTTAAGGGATTATTGACGGTGCGTAACCCTCGTTGTTTGGGGGTTGCTCTACGGGCAAACGCAGCAGCAGCAGCAGAGGCGGCGGCGGCGGCGTCAGCGACGGAAACCGTTTCACGTGAGGGTGGCCGTTCCCCGGATTAATTTAATACCGGAGGCTTAGATCTCGTTTCACTTTCTCGTCATCGTTTTATTTACCGGAATAATAATATTACCTATTATTAAATGCACCTCAACCCATCCTCAGTTACATTTTTTTTACATATAAAAAACTAATAGAAACCAAATTATAATGGGTTATATTTATTAAAGATTGGACATAATAATAACTATCTGTATTAGCAGATTTCAATATAGACTGGAATCACATACTAACGTTATACCTATTAAACTGCTTGATAACAGCAGAACAACAAATGGACTTAAGCATTATAAACCACTAGATTTAGTATACAGTTGAACCTCGCTTAACGAGCACCTCGCATAACGAGGATTTCGCAAAACGAATTGTAAGAAAAATTACTCGCTTAACGAGCGACGTTTCGCATAACGAGAGACGATGAGAAGAAAAGTCCCGGATTGCGTATTTTTGAATATATTAACCACCTTAGATTTTCTTTGTCATCTTTATTTAAAGCGAACTATAGTTTGCAAATATAATTTATGTTTGCTGTAAATGCAAAACACAAATGTATTGTGTCCAATCATTATTATAATATATAAACAAACTATGTACAAGTCCCCGAATTTATACAAATAATATAAACTCACTTCAACGTGTGTGAATTGGAAAACAGACATGTTACTTGTGTTTTTATTGTGCAAAATTTAATAACACATGCATGTCTCCGAAGATGCAGAAGAACAAAAATAACATAGATATGAAAAGCAAAATCATTAAAAATCGAGACCAAGTTATACTTTTTTTCCGGCAAGAAACGCATTACCATAATTTACATTCGTTTATATGGGAAAACTATACGAGTAAACGAGTAAATATCCTAAAATTTTAGAACGGATTAAACTCGTTAAGCGAGGTTCCACTATATAGATTTAAATAAATTATTATTAATGTTCAAAATCATATTAATGATCCACTGGGAAAGTTTATCCATTTAATATTATCGTTGACAATAGCCCTTTGCACTCAATTAAATTAAGAGTTTACATTTTAGTAATTTATTGTTGCAACAAATATTATAATTATCCTCGATTTAATTTACTTATTGTTCACATTGAATAGTTCTCATCCACAAAGAAAGAATATACACTCTAATAAAATAAGAATTATTTTCCTACGATAACAATTCAAGTACACTAATTGAAGAACCTTTGCAGTAACGGTCAAATGGTAACTCCTCATTATTGCAGTATTAACTCTAAATAGGTATTATACCAATTTCAATAAAAATAAAACGATTATAGTAAATTATTCAAGCAATTACAGCATAAACACGATATAAAAAGGGAACTGCTTCTCAATCACTGATTATTGTCGCTCAAAATAATAAGGAGTTGAATATTTCCAAATTATTCCTAATATGTTTTCATGAAAACAAACATTCTCATAAATTTAATGTTTCAAATGTCCGAAATAAATTATTACTTAATAATAATTGTTTTGTAGTATACAGCATCTCCCATTTACACGAAATCTACTTTAATTATTTCTAATTGAAATAAAAACAATATTCAATACAATTATTATTTGCAGATAATATCATATCATTTTCCAGATAAGTTCTGGAAAATGATCTGGAATGATTTTAAAAATAATGACAAAAAGATTTGCATAAACTTGTTTCAATTAATCTGTTTGATACTGTACAATAAAACCAAGTATAACGAGGATACGCAGATAACGCTGTTTCTATATTATATAAATGAATTAGCTATTATTATTAACTATTTCAGGAAGAGACTTTATAATCCAAAGTTTCAGTGAATGGGAGACATAAATTATAACATTAATTAAGGAAAATATAATTAAAAAATTATGTAAAAAGTTGTATAAGTTAAAACAATTTTTATTTAACTGGTCGACATTAGTTAGAAAACGCAACACATCAAGTTTTTAACATTAAAAAACAATTAGAAAGATGTTTTTGATGTTAAATTGAAATAAATTTTATTTCACTCTTATATTTGTTTTATAAAAAAAAATGTATATTTAAAAAATATAGAAATATGAGATAATCGAAATGTTTTGACAACTATTCGAATGCGAGTGACATGTGAGTGTGCATTGGTGTTGGATTAGTTAAATTAAGCGATGTTCGTGGAGTGAGCTCGATCAATTGTTATGTGCTCGCTGTGTGCTTGATTTATTATATAATATTTGGAGAGAGTGGGCAAGGTCTATCAAATCCCTAAATCTGTTAAAAGTATCTATTTAGCGGGTGCGGGCGACAGTGTGTCGGATGTATATTGATAGCACCATAAAATGCTGTCCAGTCGCAGTGCGGATGACAGCAGAGATTTATCCCGACTTTATATGAGCGAGAGAGAGCGGCGTCCCGACGCCCACAAAAACGCCACCGCCCCCGCACACATACTGTTGCAATTCACACATGCTGCTAATTCCCGGGACCACATTATACACTCGTCCGTTTATCATATTCCCATCTGTACTTTGCAGGAAATATTAGGATCTAATACAACCATTCTACGAGCATTGATTTATATGTAGTGATGATAATATACATACCGTTTGTATGTGGTTATTGAACGCAATCTTTCCGTGCTACAAAATAATAATATTGAAATTATAAAAGTTCATTAATAAACTGTTGTTAGTAAATATAAATTTCTATAAAAATTAAACTATAGTAGAAAGTATTCAGTGCTATGTATCTGTAATAGGTGTAATAAGTTGAAATTATAAAATGGTGGTCGCGCCTGGTTATATAATTTTCTAAAACGCTACAAAGCAATAAACACAATTCAGCGGAAGTAATTTGGAATTGAAATGTTGTCAGCGAGTTCGATTCAAGGATGAGGAATGGAGTGAGCAAATCTTTGCGTGCACTAATTGCTTGTTGGCCGCTTCCCCGTGAGCTCCTTCTGGCGTCTCGCATTGTTTCCGGTGGAGGAAGGAGCGCAACGCAAGCATCCGGAAACAGGAGACAATAGGAAGTGACTCGGCACGCACCCCTCGTTCTTCTCGCACACATGCGAGTGACGCGAATGCAATGGGTGAGGGCGCATTGAAATGCAACCCCTTTACTTACCAGCATCTTGAGGGCTTGTGAGGGCGCGACCCATGAATATTATATTATCTAGGGTAGCAACAACGCGACGCAACGAGATGACATGTGACAAAAAAGAATAAGAGAGAGAGAGAGATGAAAATAAAATATTGTAGACAAAAAGCTGCCATTTCGTGTGAATATTTATTAAAGCATTTAGCATGATGTTTCAGAATAAAAACGGACAATTTGTCACTGAAATATTAATTTTTTCTTTATAATTTGATCATTGATTACTTGAAATATCGAACAATAGTGTCTACGCTACGTGCAACGAATACAATTTTATATTAATTTAAACTTGCTTGCAATTTGTTTTCTACATATCCAAATTAAAATCATTTATTTTACATATGTGCTATTGACCGCAGCCTTTTGGCTCTTAATATTTATTCAGTTGTATATTTATTGATTTTATTTATTTAAAAAGTACTTACTTATTGTAAATGCAGTTCATACACACGAAACATAAAAATTATGCATTATGTAAATAAAATATAAATTTCTACTAATAATAAAAATGTTTATTAACAAGTCTCCCTGTACACATTTCATAACAAGTAATTATCTCAATCATTTTCTTTTCTTTATCAAATCAACAAGTACTTAAGTTCACAAAAATACAAACTAATAATGTAAGTGAAAAATTAAAACACTATTTTAAGTCAATATATTGAACCTTTCAGACACATAAAATTATTTTTATATATATCTTTTCTGTCTAAATATATTTATATAAACAAAGAATATATTTACATCTCTGTAAAACTTAAAACAAAATAGGTAGTCAGAATTTTCTTTAATAAAAAGGAAATCTGTCAAAAAATGTATTTGCTCCGGTTATCGGCGACTCTGGTTGTTGCGATTTTGGTAACCAGAGTAACCCTGTCCACCGCCGCGGTTCTTATTTTCCTGTCTGTATCCTTGTTGCTGATATCTGTTTCCGCTGTCGGGACCTGAACCAGCGCCTGTGCCACCTCCGCTTACTGTACTGCTGTTAAAACGGGAACTGTACCCTCCGCTTTGATAGCCGGAAGATTGTGCACCACCTCCTCTACCACCTTGATTATATCCGCCTCTGCTTCCTCCTCTCGAATTATAACCATCACGATTGCCACCGTTATTATTGAATCCCCAATTATTATATCCACCTCCTCTTCCGCCTGAATTGTACCCGCCGCCGCCTCTTCCACCTGAATTGTAACCGCCGCGATCATTAGAGTTGTACCTGTTATCCCTTGAACCGTGGTTATCTAAAACAAACAAAAAAAAGTTATCGATCAGGACGCTATTATTTTTAGCAATTAAAGGCCACTTTATTCGGGAATATTTGAAATAGTGACGGGTCGCGCGTGCCGGCAATCACCAATTAAAACAAACAATTGGGGAACGCCATTGTGTGTCAATCATACACGCATACAGTCGCACGGACGCATGCATTAGTGTGTACGAATCAACAACCCTCCCATCCTTCGATTTGAAAACGAAGTTCCATTTACACCCCCCATTTTTTGAAAAACAAATATTAAAATCGCAAATGTATTTTGCATATCAATGTGTATGATTTCTTTCGTTATAATTACTTTTATATATAATTTTACTGTGAACGGTGGAATCGCTTTATGTATTGTAGGAAGCGTCGTCCATAATCTTCAATAGTCGAGTGCTCAAATCGGTACTCAACATAATTAAAGTAGAAGGCATTCATTCTCTCGGTATTTCTCCTATCCGCAGCCGCTTTTTAGCTCTTCTCTCTCTTCAACATTTCGTTTTTATCCAACGTCAATAATTCTGTTCCCGTGTGCGGAACGGGAGAAGAATGGCGTCTTTACAAATGAAGCGATTTACGTCTCGAGTGGCTAAATGTGGCCTCAACAACTGCATAAACCGCCCTTTTAAACAATGCGTTCGTTGCGTTAAATCGTGGCTAGCAAAAGAAGTAAAAAAGAACGGAATAGCCTGGGGGAGTGCCTTTAAATCGCTGTGTATTTGATTTGTTCGAATTGGGGAGATTACATTATAGAGGTAAGAGCGACCGGCCACCCTAACTATCCTTCTAGGGTGGTGAAATTGGACAGTGGGCAGTTGTTTATAAGACAATTGGCCACGAATTCACGCGCGAACGCACCAGATGATTAGATCTCTCCAAAACTTTCGGACAACACCAATTATTTCTACCCTTTGTGATTCAATTTATCGCTCATCCTCACTTCGAGACAACAATCTTATGCAGGATTTCGCCAGGATATCAAATCTGGCTTCAAAAAGTACTACAAAAATGTATTGATATCTAATTGAAAAGTGAATTCAACATATAAAGATGATTAAATATCAATTGTCGTGTGTTTTCGGAGACCCCGAGGCGTCCATTGTGTTATGTAATGTTTGCGGGGTTTGTGAAACCGGCGGCGACGGGGCGCGTAATTGCTATCCTTTGTGTAACCGTCACAAACATTCGTACGCCTAATTTCGCAATATCACCACACACACTCATAACACACCCTCTTTTTAGCTTCTCAGACAGGTTGACGTATGGCTGATAAAACTTAAACAATTTTCCGTGTCTTCTGTTTCGCAAGAAAGAAATAGAAAATCTTACCTTGATTATAATTTCTGGGAGTGTAGTGATTGACCATCCTGTGACCGGAGTCCGGTAAATAAGCTCTGTAATCGAAAAATTAATGAATGATGAATATTCAGGTAAAATAAAAAGTTTTAAGTTACCTTTGATTGGATGGGGCCATGCCAATGCGCGGTCTCCAATTCCTGTTCTCTTCTTCGTTGAGATCGCCAGGTTTAAGTACTTTAGGAGGTTCCAAGGCACCGGGTAGACGGACAGCGGGGAATATGAATTCTACGGAATACTTAGGATCTGAGAAATTTACACAGTACACAGCATTGTCCGAAACGTCGTCCAATCCCTGGACGGTTGCATAGCACACGGAACCCTCTTCAACATGGTTATTAGACTTTTTTATAAGACCTGCCATGCCATCAATAACAACGTGTACTTCGGTATCAGCATCCAAATTCTGGACGTAGATCGACTGAAGTTTATCAAACCCACTGTTGTGCGGACCTACGTACAGTCGATCTGATCCTAGCTGATTTCTCTTAATTTCATCTGGTGTAAGTTTAGAGTAATACGGTTCCAACGCACGAAACAGTCTTTTCTCATCAACGAAAGGTAGAAGTGCAACACCTTGCCAAGCAAATTTCTTTCCATTTAAATCTATCTTAAAATCTTCAGGATAGAAGTCAATGATCGACGACTCAGGACTATACATTAGTTCAGTCCATGGTTCTGGAACGTGTTTGCTACTTGCAGCTGGAAATACTCCCATCAACTGTTCTAATGGTTGAAACTAAAAAAAAACAATAATTATAAAAATGTTTAATAAACTAAATAATTAACAATACTTACAGGTTTTGTTCCACGTTCGAATTCTGTACTTAATCCAGATATATTGACGAAATCTGATGCGAACGGCGCGTAGTGATACGGAAAATACCATTTCCATGAAGCACATCCTTGATAGTAGTACCTCAATACCCAGCACAATCCTCGCACATAATGCAAGGCTACAGAATATCTAAACTCGAAATTCTTAGCATCGACATCGAATTTACTTTCATAGTAGCGGTCCTTAAAGCCATCCTCCCAAAGTCTGACTTCATCGTTGGGTTCCTCGTCTTCTTGCTGTTGCGACGTTGCTTCGTGCGGTCTTTTCTGTCCTCTGCGATTTGCGTTTTGATTGTTCCTACTCCCTGGTTGTGTATCTGTTTTATTTGATCCGCTATCAGTGTGCATACCAGCTTTTCTAATTTGGAAAGCCTCTTGACGCACGTTGGTCAGAGATTGCGGACCGTCCACGGGCTTTGGCCCGAATTGCGTGTCTTTAACTAAAGACCAATCTGGTCGGTTGTTCTGTTGTCTTTTATAATATTCGTTCCTCTTTTGTCTCTCTTTAAAAGCTACCTCCTTTTGCTGCCTCGTTTTGAAAATTACATCTTCTGCCATTCCTAAATTCGTGAGGATCATCTGAACCCTTTCCAGATTAACATCGCCCGCATTTGTTATCCAACCCTACAATAAATTTCTATTGTAAATATTTGGTAAATAGTAAATTATAAAATATTCTTACATTAGTTTTATAAACGGTTTCCTTGTACAAAGTGACCAATCTGTCGATGGCACCTTCGCGAATCTCCAGACTAGGAAGATGCGGCAAGAAGTCGTTTCCAACGAAAAAACACATGAAAACCCAATCATCAATTGCCCGTTCAAAGTCATACTCGAATGGAAGATTCGGCATTTGCAAGTCCTTCTTTAGGTACTCCCTAAGTACGTTAATCCTAACGAATATGAATTCCGGCTCTGAAGTGAATTGAATCATGCTACCATCATCTGGTCGTTCTAGTCCGGTGCAATCCTTCATTTTGTGGCCCTGCTGGCCACAGATCTCACAAGGTTTAGGTGGTGCATTCTGCACAAACTCTTCCCTGATGATTGTAAAATTCGGCTCATGAGTAGCTAATCCCAACATAATTAAGTCAGCATCTGCTCCACATAAGCAATGCTGCGTATTAGGGTCATGATCTGGCTGAGCTGTAATTAAAAAGTACAATGTTAACTTACAAACTAATTTCAAATTCTATTAATACCTAACTGGTATTACCCTAACCTCTTTGTTTTCTGATGTAATCCATGATTTTGTGTTCCCCCTCACCAGGAACATTTGCATCAGATAGTATCACCTTAATGTTTTTCCATCCAGGGTCAGTATTTAATCGAAGGTAAATATAATACTGCAAACATTCAGATAAACGATCCATGAATGGAGTTCCTGGAGTAATACAATTAGAATCAAAATGATCTGCCTTATCCTTCTCTTTAGGTAGGTGAGCCCCTTTAGAGAGTATGTCTGAACGAATGCGACTCATCTCATTCAATTTCTCAGAAGTTTCTTTGGACGCACGGAAGCGACGTGAACGCTGCTGATTCATTTTAGCTCTAGGAGCAACTCCATCAATAGCCATATACAATAGCTTGCGTGGACGTACAATTCTAAAACACAAATACAAATTAATGCTAATATTGTACACATTAGTGTTTAAACATTACCGGAACAGTCTGTCAATGCACTCAAAAATAGCAACCATCATCTCATCCTCATTTCTTGGTGCAGGCTTATCTTCTGGATGAGTGCACGGATGAATGATGCCATTCATGTCAAGGTACAAATTATCAAATTCCACTCCATTGGGATTTGGTTCAGAGGTGTCAATAGGTATTTCCACCCCATTTACATCTGTGCTCTGTAAAATATACTATTGAAAACAAACTCTCCATATAAAACAAACAAACATAACCTACCTTTTGCTCAGTACAGGTCGCCACAACCGAAGGATATTTGCGGCTCAGCCATCGAAAGAACGCTGGAACTCCCATATTTTCTGATAACTTTACACTTTTAATTTGTGGATAATATTTTTGAAAAGTTGAAATTTAAAGAAATATTATGAAAACTATGCACATGACAGAATGAAGTGACCAGTAGTGACCAGCAGTGACCGACAGTTTAGATACAAACAAGCAGCAGATGGAGGGATAATAAAACCGCGTGCCTATAACAGCACCAAAATAATGTTTGCTCATGCGCATTGGTGAACACTTTCACGAAATGAAATTTTAACATAATTAAAGTTAAACTTAACATAGATCTTCGCTGCAAGAAAAGCCTCACTACACTTATAGTCAATTATTGTTATTATAGTTAATTTATTTATTTTTTTTTTCCGGCTGCTACCTCCCTCTAGGAGGAAGTTAATGTATTATTGCATAAAATGTCAAAGTATTGGTCTCCAACATGTTTTACAACAGCGGTCACCAACCGGTTGTCCACGGAAAAATGTTCGTCATTTGACCAATATTAATAACACAATTATACAAAATTAATCAACATCAAAAGTAGAGGGAAATAATAATAATACAGTTTATATGAAATTTAATCTATTCGTAAATTATACTTTAATTTTTTGACTGGTATTTGACCATCCAGTTGAGCAACCTACATCCTCAACATGGCTTCTAACAGCTTCATCTAATATAACTTTAATGTCTTTGCAACCTTTCAATGCTTTAGCCATAACTTTTGGCAGATGATCAATGTGGAAACGTTGGGACATTTCCATGAGAACTATCTTTTCAGACATCGGTAACGCTGCTATTGTGAGAGTAGGACCTCCTAACATTTCCTCCTGATGCGAAATATCCACCATGGGAATATCGTTATTGGCCAAACTTGCGCTACAAGCGCACACATACTCTTTAAGTGGAATTCCTGCATCAATTAGTGCTAATGTGGCTGCATTTACACATGCTGGATAAACTCCACCATCTGCATGTAATACTTCCACATATATATCAATTTGTGACCATGGATACAATTCGACTTTTATAGCAGCAAGTAGAGCCTGCCTTAAATGTATAGACATCTCTGAGGACTTTCTATCACCTCTGGGTCTCTTCTTTCTCTCTGATGTTGAAAATACAGCCATACTGAATTGGCAATTCACAATAGCAGAATCATGTTGTGCTTTACTTCTATTCCCTCTGACCTAAATCGAGAATATTAATTAAGACCTATATTGTAAACCATAAAACTTACTTGATGAGGTCCATATACAGCAGCTAACACTTTAGTTAGACCTTGTTCAATATATGCACTTCCATCAGGTTGACTGAACACCCCCATCTTACAACGAACCCTTCTAAGTTCATCTGCCCTTCTTCCATCTAATCTAAGACCAATTTTAGAAACAAGTTCTTTCTTTTTGCTCATAGTTATGTATTTATAAATTTTCAATTCTTTACAATTTAAAAGATTGTTCTAGGTTATGAAGTGATAAAGATGTAAACACATGCACCTATTTTCAAAGTAATTGTAGCCAACATAATATGTCCTACAATTTTGTAATTTCCTTTAAATTGTTATTTCTTATAAGAATTCAAAATAAGTATATTTATATTATATACCTGAATAAACTTTTAATATTATTAAACTTTAACGAAACAATAGTTTTACTATATTACTAATAAGCACATGTTCGCGTAGTTGCATAACGATAATCCTATATGATTTAAATTTTTATAACTCATTAAAAGTATATTTTTAAATGAAATAATTTTTGGAAGTCCAATATATATATTTATTATTCTTTGTTTCTTCTTTTTGTGATAAAATTACTAACAATTACTACTTGACGCAAGTGGAACTCGCCATCTATTTTCAGTAGTTTCAAGTATAGGTTGTCAGTTGTGACGGGTTTGACGTTTGCTACAATAATTTAATTGGTTTTTTGATGGTTCCAATCGCGAAGTGTCAGTAGAAGTAGTGATTCATTTTTATTAAAATTGTAAAATTGTTTTAAAACAATATGGTAAGAATAATTCATGCTATCAATTATAATATTGTAATTCTTGTTTCTATATAGTCGAACGAGATTGAAGAAACCATGAAACGCATTCAGTCCCATAAGGGTGTTGTTGGGACAATTGTAGTGAATTCTGAAGGTAACTATGTTATTACTTCTTTAGATCATTGATCTAACAAATATTTTTTTACAGGCATTCCAATTAAGAGCACACTAGACAATACCACAACAGTACAATATTCTGGTCTAATCAGCTCTTTGGCTGACAAAGCAAGGAGTGTAGTTAGGGATTTGGACCCAAGCAATGACCTGACTTTCCTTCGTATTCGTTCCAAGAAGCATGAGATCATGGTTGCTCCAGATAAGGAGTTTATCCTAATTGTGATCCAAAATCCCACTGAGTAATTTTAGCTCTTAAAGAGATGCCTTGCACTAATTTATTTTATAATTTCGCTACTGTTTTAAATTTATATATCTTTTTTTATTTGTTAAAATAAAACATACTAATATTTGTAGAAAGTTTGCTATGGTTTTGATTTGTTGTGACAGGTGTCAAATGAAAAATGGTTCACAAAAATTATTGATTTTTTATTTTCACATTTAATACTTATACTTTCAGTCAAATGAAATCGATGAGATATTGAAAAAGATGCATACACATGAGGGCGTAGTTGGAATCATCGTAATTAATTCGGAAGGTTATATGTTAAATAGATAACGCTTTTGGAAATTTGTATATTCGTCTTGTAGGAATACCAATCAAGAGCACTTTGGACAATACGATTACAGTCCAGTATGCCGGTCTTATAAGCTCACTGGCTGAGAAAAGTCGGAGTGTTGTTCGTGATTTGGATCCTTCTAACGATCTTCTGTTCATAAGAATCCGTTCAAAGAAACATGAGATTATGGTCGCGCCGGATAAAGAATTCATTCTTTTAGTTGTTCAGACGCCTGTCGATTGAACTTCTGCTAAGAATTACATTAAAATTTTAATTTCAGTGTAATTCACTTTACAAGTAAAGTTATAATTTATCAGTAGTGTGTATAATTTCTTAATTTCCAAGATGATGGATATCTTATTAAATATTTTAAAAAAGGAGACATCAAGATGTACAGGTTATTTTATATAAGGATATCTAATAGTAATACAGAATTTCTAATTTTTCTTGGTAGTTAGAGTTTGACATTACACTATAATGTATATAGGTGAAAACAAAATAAAGTAAGTTTAAAAAAAATATAAAAAAAAATAAGGGAGTAAAATATTTTTAATCGTAGGTGAAATATCACAAATGTTTATCACAGTTTCAGAGTTTCAGTTGTTCCCAAAGTGGACCTTATATCATAAACCTGAAAAAAGAAATAACAAAAAAAAATCTAAAATAAAAAAATTGTATAATGTAAAATGGTGTAAGAACAAAAGAAGCAACAAACGGTTGCCGTTAAATCATAATGTTAAAAATGACATGCAAAAAATAGGTTTATTTCAAAATAAAGTTTAAGGTCGCTAAAATAAAACACATGCAGAAAAAGTTTAAATTTTAAAATTCTGTTTAAGATACGATTTAAGATACTTTACCTTCGTGCTATATACGAATTTAATTTATCGCAGGTTTAAGAGATTAAATTTAACTTTTTTGGATCTTTAGAGATTTTGTTTTGTTTTTATTATTAGGGATACTAATAGGGGAAAACCGTTTTACAATAGTTTAAGATTACATTATGATTTTTAATATAATTATTAGATTCTATTAATGCGAAAGAGAAATAAAATTGCTCTGCTTAAGTACCATTCTCTAAGTCAGCAGTTTGTACTTTTGGATAAAATTATTGCTTTGGACTTAAAGAATAGCCTAATAATAAAAATGAGAGCAAAAAAAAAATAGAAACGTTAAACATTATTTTGACTAATTTGAAAATAATAATTACAATTTTGTATTTTTTTTAATTTAATTAATATTTAAAATCAAGAAACAAGTTCTTAGTTTCGAGTTTTAAAACTACATGAAAAATTGCCTTAAGCATTTAGCTATTCCAAGAAGGCTATATTTCATCCCTCGTGACATTACTCATTTCAATTAAGCGAGGCTTATTATTTTAAGTCAATAAATAAATTAAAATTCTATTATTGTTAAATTAAGAAAAAAGATTCAGATTTGTTTTTTTTTAAATTAATTTAAATGCTATTAAAACCGTACCTGTTGAGTTTAATTTTATACCAGAAGCATAGGGCTTTGTTAAAAAGTTCATTTTGGTGATTTTGTTTGTATTTTTAAAATTAAGTATTATTTCGTAGGTCGTGTGTACGGTGAAGAACGATACCGTGAAGATTCACTATGCCTCGAGCTCGACGTACTCGAAGCTTTGTAAGACTTCCAACGATGAGACGAAGGCTCTGTCACACACACACAGAGAATTCAACAGATTTATAACAAGTTTAAGAATGGGATTAGGAATTAAATTCGCGCGTTTTTCTATTAAATTGATTTATGTGCTCGTATGCTGGTTATACGAGATAATTAAAAGATTCTTACCATATGAGCTAGAGCTTTCCCTGTAGTATTCCGTGTCGTACTCAGGTGTGTCGTAATGGTGGCTGGAGGTACCCGATCTGTAGTGGCTTGGAGGCGGACTGTAGTGTTCATAGGAAGGTTCGGTGGGCTCGTAGGGCTCCTCGTAGCCGTAGCTTTCTTCCATCGCGATCCTCGCTCTATCTAAAATAGACAAGATTTTTGTTTTCGCTGGCATTACGCGTGGTGTGACGACCGGTGTCCTGGTGGCAGTCCTCATCTGCAGAGGTGCTCTTGGAACAGAAGCCGAAACAGCTGGTAAACCATTGAAAGGGCTACCGCGCGCTGAACGAGAGCTGCTTCTGAGGATGCTGGTGCGTCTGGTGGACTCGCGCTCGTTCGGTATAGCCGTCATTATCTCCATCTCGCGCATCTGCTCCTGCCGGATGTTATCATTGTTGTCTGGTATAAGATACTTTCTGACCTCCGCCAGGGCGAAGGCAACCCTAGCGTGTGCCTCCGCAGGTGGTCCTAGGGCTGATATCTCCACGTGAAGGTCATCGCTTAGGTGAGCATACTTTGAATCGCATGACTGTCTTAGTTCTTCCTCCTTGTTGCGGTCCTTCATTGACCCACGACCCAGAACAGCCATCTTACACATTGTTTCTTCCTGGAGCCGTTTCATCGAGTTGCCTTTCGGTCCCAGTAGTTTACCAACAAAATTAAACTGAAAACAATCAATCAATCAATCATTGCACAGTATAACAAAAACATTTCACGCAACTGAAAGCATTCAAATATTAATAATTTAATATCTTTCTATACTTTTTATATTTATTTCCATTATTATATTAAGTAAATAAGACAATATAATTTCTATTTAATTGAATAAAGTAATTAATCCCAATTAATTTATGGATAACACATATTGTTTTTTTTTACAATACAGAATAATACAAATAAATGTACAAGATTTCGATATAAATAAAAACAATAACTGCATTACCTTAGGATGCTCTTTGACCGGAACGAGAACTTTGACGGAAACTTTCATGGGTCGCTCCCTGTAGATATCAACATATTTCAGATCCTTCGCTGGAACCTTCCCGATTGCCTGGACTTTTGCGATCTCTGTGGGATAAAAGATCAAATAAAATAAGTTCTATCACAAATGTAATAAAAGAAAAGCTCAGAAAATACAAATCGAACATTCTATATATTATTAAAGAACTTTTCTTAAACCACTAATAAAAAATAGCAATAGCTTAATTTAATTTAATTATATAAACATATAAGATCTTTCTACAGGAATAATTGATAATAAGCAGTTTGCGTAATCGGGTTTCCTTTCATTTGAACTCGATTAAGTTGGAAAGATTTCGGCTCACCTTTCGGAATATAAATTTCAACGATGCTATTTTTTTTACCCAACACAATATTTACAACTTTTCGAGCGCCAAAATGACATGAAAGTGAAATGGGCCGCGATTGCATGCCCAATTTGCATCTTTAATGTCTGCATTTCAGAAGCAAACATTTCAAACGAAGTACATACGAATTATTAATAAAACCTTACAGAAATAAACAGCAAAAGCAAATAAAGAAAAACTAATGCAAGCCTGAAAATTCCGCAACGACTTGCCAAAATGAATAAATCATAACTCCTACGATGTATGACATACACCTGACGCGCATCAAAAAGGAATAAATATAAAGCGTAAGGAGGCCGAGTATTTTCTCTTTTGTTTGTCGTGAGATGATGTAACTCGTCTTTCTTAAGTTTATAGTAAAACATATAATGAGTTGATAAATCAACGCGTTTTGTCTGCAATATATTCGCAAACTCTACACTTATTTTGAACAAATCCGAGCTATTGTATTATTCGCTTAATATGTGCGAATCAGAATATTATATGTACAATTATTTATTATAGATTCCTTTCCGCAAATTATTGATAATTCTTAGGATACAAAACTTTCAAACTACAACTAATATTTACTTTCAATAATTATATCAAAACTTGATGTTTTATAGCAGATGGTATCATTCATATTATGATCGAATGCGTGCATACTATAAGAGTGAGCGCAGAATCTGTGTGATCCTTGGCGAAGTTTATGATTACGATGAAGTCAAATGAGCATATTAATAAATTTTGAGACATTACTAAGGGATGATGGTTGAAAATGCGACCAGCATTATTCAGGCTGCTACCATCCCTTCCATTATTTACTGAGGATGGTTTAATTAAGAGCGGCCGCAAACTACAGGCGTCGCGGCACACATAAAGGCTGCAATAATGATGGTATACATAATTCAATGAGCTATCGCTCAAATATTCATCTTTTCCATCATAGCCACCCACGACATGATAACGATCTTAATTATTTCATCCGGTAGTCGCAGGCGGCGCTTATGATAAATCCATATGTAATCCAACTGGACCAAAGATATTGTTAGCTAAACGATCGATATACCTACAATCAGGATTATAATAATACCTTGATCGATTAAACGAATTGTGTTCGGGTATTTGAGGGAATCGATCGCAAGCTTCTCCTGCAGGAGCTCGCTGATATATTCGCTGGCTTTCATCATCGCCGGGTTCGATTCGTCGTTGTCGACCTCGGAGCCGTCGACGCCACCTCCACCGACTGCAACTATGCCACCCCCATCTTTCTCCATCTGGGTCCTCCTCTTGAAATCGCCGGCATATTCTCCGTTCGAATCATTGTACTTATCTGCCATCATCAACCTTCAGGTTCGACTGATGAAAGTTATTCGTCCGAATGTACGTAACTTTACTCTCACCACTATTCGTCTTCCACCCCGCACCAAAACACTTTCCCTATGCCGATGCAAAAATGGCGTTGCCTCCGCAAGAAGGAAGAAGAGAAGCATACTGGTAGCCTAGTAGATATATGATGAAGCTCTAGCTTTCAGCTGCTCGAATTCAGATGGCGGACTACGTTACATAATTAATCAATTACTTAACATGGTAAAAATATACCGAAATATTATGTAAATATATATATATATATATTGTACTAGTATTCTATTTCTTATTGCTATTAGAAGTGTAATCTTGCCTATCATATGAACTACTAATAATAATTAAGCTACTCAAAACCTTTTTAAATTAAATTACCTACGAATATTGTAGTTTACCAAACCAATAATTACCAAATTTAATTGAATATAAAATAGAGGTTCCTATTTTCTATTCGATTAAATTTGGTAATTATATATATTTAATTATTACAAAAACCTAGCTACATTAAAGTTAAATTTCGACAATACAAATTATAAATATTAAATTATTGATTAATAATATTATTAATAACAGAGCAGTTGAGCAGTTTAAAAAATCTATTAAGTTTATTTTATAATAAAAATATATAGTCGTAATTGACTAATAAAAATTACAATAATTTGTTTAATGTTACATTAGTTAAAAAACTTAAATCTCATTTGGGTTATATGTTTAAAGACCAATAAATACGGCGGAAACTGGCTGAATTGTGCCCTACACAGGCTAAGAGAAGACAGTGGTGGTTAATAAATAAAATGAACCAATAAATATTACTTAACTTTATTTGTTTAAGTTCATTAGCTAGTTTTATTTATTATATTTTATTGTCTTGCAAATTAACCGATTTAGGTAAAAGAAAACTTACTTCAACTAGTGTTCATATTATCATGCATGTGAATAGCTTAAAATTACCGTTGGTTTCAAACTTTGTAACATGAACTTCTGATTTTAATGTGAGTATGGAAAACAGTTGTAAGAAAAGGCAAGTTACGGTGTTGTAATCACTGGAAAATCGAATTCAGGTAAATTCTAAAGGAGGCCGGGAAATCCCTTTGGCGTACACTTCTTTCTTCTCTTTCATAAATGTAAAGCTGGTGTAGTTCGATAAAAGCCGACTGTGTATATCTTTTGCGGATACTCCTTTCTTGATGCTTTTTTCCTTTTCTCGGTATTCCACGACCTGAGGAGACAGGCAACAAAAAGAAGAAGACTAGAGAGAGCGCAGGATTTCCTTTTTGAAGCCGTGAACTTATCTTGGCCGGATAAAGGGTCTCGCACCCCTCCGCACCTCCTTTTGCGTAGATAAACGGAATACAAATACGATAGCTCTCTGGTGGAGAGACGCAAAAAGGAGTATCACAAAAATTGTTATTCTTGCACGATAAAGAAAACTCGCACAGGTGGCGAATTAACTTCTATTGAGCAGAACAAGAATGAAAAATCTTGGGATTTCGAGGATACCCGATTATAATTGAGGAAAAGCACATTCCTCCAAACCTGCAAAGCTTTTGTCTACGATAATCACCGAACGCTTTTGTGCACCGCTAAATAGTTGAGCTCTCGGAATTCACAAAAGATTTTACAAATCGACAAATGCCACAACGACATTGATATTCATCACATGCCATTCACTAAGAACCACTGCCTTAATTGCTGACAATAATTGACAATTTGATTTTCCAAAGGAAATGCATTTCATTGTTAGACCATGATAGTCCCATCTATTTTTCTCTATAATTATTTTAAGAATGATTATGTAAAAATAAATAGTAGAGTTCTAGGTTTTACATTTTTAGAATAATATTTATTTGTTAAATACGCATATGATATACGTAAGTGTAAATAATTTCAAGCCACCAAAGTAATATTTCCACCTTAATCTTAAATTCATCATTCATAACATACATCGATTTGTTTTCATATATATTTATACAATATGTTTAAAATTTACTAGAATTTTAGTTTTCATTCCCTTACTCATCACATATGAATTTTTGGCTAATTCTATTTGAGAAGAAGATTAAATGTATTAATTTATATGAAGAAGAAATATATTTAGTAATATAATGACCATATTAAAAAACTCTTGTTTTCTTGAAATTAATTAATTTGTAATTTTGAAAAGAAAATAATATAAAATAATGAATTTATAATTATTTAATTATAATCTTCAGTGCCTTTGTGTCCGATGGAGAAACATTAAAATGAAATATACACGATAGTGGAATTCCGAACTCGATTATAAAAGGGGAATAATTTAGCACGCACTAACGAGAATTGAAATTTCCCACGATTTTCCAGCCTCCCTTCGACACACAGCACTTCGTTTGTAATTGTAGCTATTAGAATTATTCAACGAGAGCCGTATTTGCATGTAATTGACGGATGTTTCACAGCCCGGTCATCAAAGTCCGTCAGTTTCGACAGATACTATTTTCCATCGTCCTTATGCATATATCGGTCACAAATTAAAACACCATAATCTAATTATACAGACATCGGACATTCTAGAAAGAAACTCGTTGAAACTTTATACTTTTTTGAATATTTATATTTTGTTTTTGCTCAAAAGTTGCAACTCTCGAATGCCGAGTTAATGAAGTGCGAATTTAAGGGAGGATGAGGAAAACCTAAGAAGAAAAGTGGTAAAAAATTTTGGAAAATAAAAATTAATTGGGTAGGATTGTCGTGCTATTGAAGAGCGAAGTGCTTTTTAATTGCTGAAAATTGTATGGATCATTAGCGTCCCCACATAAATATACACTTAAAAGAAATTCTGTTTTCCACTTCTTCAAGGCGTCGCGTTTAATGATGCGACAAGGGATCCTAATTTATCGGGAGTTGCCGGATTGAATGTATTGTTCCGACGCCGATGCTGCTGCGTCAGGTGGCAGACGTTGCGACGCCGAACGCTACCAAACTATGCTCGAAGTAATATAGCGAAGGGGGAAAAATAAATATATAAATATAGGATCCAACGTGGGAGGAACTTAAGTGACGTCCAAATGGACTATTACTGTTTTCTTTTGCTGTCAAGTATATCTGACTTTGAGTTCAGCACACTAATTCGTCTCATCCTATAACAATGAGATCGTCTATTAATCAGAAATATTTTTTAAGAGTTCTCTTCCAAACAATCATAAATTGTTTATCTGTAATTAAACATTTTCTTATTTAACTTTGAATTTGTATTTAATATTTATATTGTCTATCTATTAATTTAGTAATAAAATAATATTTGTGTTTTCATAAGAACATATAGAACAAGCGAGATTTCATTGAATATTAACGAATATCACATAATGTAATCTCAATATTTGATTATTAAGGTTGAATCTGTTTCATGTTACATATGAATTCGGGAAATGGAACATAAATATTTTGCGACTTCTAATTGTATGAAAACAAACGAGGAAATTGCGATTGCAAATTTAGGCGCGTCTGTAAAGTGAGTTCTAATTATTTCCCTATGCAACGCGTTTATTTAAAATTTGTGTAGCTAATTCGTTGCTTATAGTTTGCATATTTTGTAGTGGAAAACGGGTGGATGAAATGCACGAAGGAAGAGATGGAAACGGACAGAAAAAGAAGACACACAATGTGAGATAGAGAAAGAGAATGGAAATGTGTGTGCATGTATATATGTGTGAGAGAGAGGAGCGGAAATTTTAATAGAATTAATATTAATTTCATAATATTCTGGGAAACCGGGCGTGCGGTTTCCGTAATTGCCTCGACTTAGGTTTAAGCGTTTCTCTGGATGTGCTTACGAATGCGAACATGGATGTGGTTAAATTTCATTTTGGGACCATTTTCTCCACTAAATAAATAACGTATTTGCTTGAGGACGTGCGAATGGCTGGAATCGCGTTTTGTAGAAATAACAGGAACACGTGTTACGTCCGACGGAATGACAAAATTTAATGATCGAAATTTCTTTTTATTAAATTTCACAAATTGCAATGGCACATTTCCATAGTCTCAACTCCGCATCCCCGCACAAACATACATTGAAAAGGTTATATTTCTTTGATGTATTTGAAAGCATCGAAACGAAAGAAAAGAGAAATTCCAGTTTCGATAATTGATAAGAACATATTTTCATTATTTATTTGCTCTCATTTTAATTCATTAAATTATATTTGATATTATTACTTTTTTTATTATAGAAAAATATGATAATATTTTGTGTAGTTCGGAATATTATTGAAATATCAACTTACTTTCTTAAATAAAAAATGCAGAAGTCTTATAAAAAGAAATATGAAATATTTATTTTTTAAAGAATGGAAATAATTGAATAATTTGCTATATGTTTGGCATAATCTAACTTATTATTTCTTCTAATTTATTAAATTAACTAATTGATGATAAATGAAGTAAAAACTAATAATAAATATAAATGGAATCTGTTGCAAAATATTTTAATTTACATGTAATATTGACTGGTGATATTGCTAGCATTCGTTGATGAATTTATCGTGTGAACATGTTTTCCCCGATTTTGTGCAATATAATTAAGGCCTGGAAACGTGCCAGTATCGGAGTGGAATGCTTCCCTTTCAGTTTTTATTGTATTAGCACAGACAAAAGTTATGTATTTAGCTTTATTTCTTATTTTCCATTCACAATTTGAAATTACATTTTTCTAACAAGTTGATATTAATATATTAGCAACCACTACCATATGTTCTAAATGAACTCTATTTCTATATATTTGATTTCCCATGCGCTTGGTTTAAATTAAACGGTATTGATTGAGACAAATGAGACGATTGTCAAAGTAAAGATTAAACACCTCATCACGCGCGTCCAACTTATCCTTAAGTAATCAACGTCTTCGCACTTCCTAAGTGTTAATTAACCAATCAACATTTGCGTTTGTTACTTTTACTGAGAAGACAAACATTGTTTGCAGTGTGGTCGTTTTGATCCATCCACGGTAGCAGTTTCACTTGTATGAGAGAAGGAAGGAAGGAAGTAAAGGGTGGGTGAGAATGGGGCGATCCATAAACTCCTGCCGTAGTTAAACTGAACGGATAACGAGGGCTGCGTTAGCAAATAG